CCATAGATATCAGGTGTGCGCCGGCGTGGGTTCGAACCCCGGACCATGTGCATGGTCGGCGAGAGTCCTAACTACTGTGCCACCGACGCACACAGCTTATCACCACTTTTTTCTATTTTCCATTGTCCTCTTTAACTAGGCCCATGATTGTCCATTGTCTCTCATATCTTACATGTTACCTTAGGAACATAACTCAACTCATCATTTCTCTGTGTTGGATTCCACTCGGGGGCCTGGTGAGCGGTACTTTTGGATAGTCTCCTCAACCTGTACCCAATTCATCAGCATTTTCTTTTGTCTATTTGTTGAGCAATCGGTTATTGATTGGTCGATTCTCAGAGCTTCTTGCTTCTCATTTTCCTAGCCATTTTATCTTTAATGCAGAGTCATTGAAGGTGGCTGTTGACTAAAGGTCTGCAGTAGTCGGCTGGAAATGCTGTTCATGGTTTACTGGCCAATTTCCGAACACCCATAGAAGACATTATTGAATTAACATCGGTGTTGAAAATAAAAATCTCGTTGTTCACGCCGACTGCAGAAGATTTCCACCCCGACTTGAGATTGATACAGGTGTGTCTTGCTTTTCCAATTCTATCTGTGGCATCTTCATCTATGGTTCTGCCTATGCCGGCTGGAACCGTGTTTCCTAGATAAGTGAAGGCAGGAAGTCACCTCTGTTAAATATCTCCCGTTGATGGTGATTGGTGCTGGTTGTTGTTGTTGCTATTGCTGTTAGTTATCTTCGTTATCTCCATCTTCCCTATGCTGAACTGGAGTCCTGTGATCTCTGCTTTTACACATAGTTTGTCAGTTTTAGCCTTCAAGTCTTCAAGTTTGTGGTACACATTAAAGACAGACTTAAGTGCTGTAGTGCTATTTTAATAAATTGAGAATAACTGAAAGTCAAAATCAATAATAATTCATAAGATACATATAAGTGCTAGTGTAACAACAGAAGACAAGGGCCAGGCAACAGATCGTTTTATTATGAAAATCAACACGTATTTATAGATATTTCACATACATTATTACAGCTTATGCAAGTAGACAAGCGCAGTTATCTGATTGGTTGTTTATCAGAAGTTAGGCAGACAAACGCAGGCTTCTGATTGGTTGTTTCGGGATTCCTCGACAAATAGAGTTCTCTATCTGCGAATCATATTTTGCCACGTTAACTTTGCTGTGATTGGTTGTTAAATCAGCCTTGTACATATTTTCTCACGGCCTGCTCTCACCACACTAGCGTTCTATCTCCCGTGTGGTATGGTATAATAGGGTAAGCAATATTGAGCTTAGGCATCAGTCGAGTGCTAGGTAAAGAGGGGGAAATTAATAAACGAGGCTGTGAAGTCACATCGATTAAGATGGTTAGGACATGTACATGCATGCCTAGCAATTAACTTCTTCGACTGACAGGCAACTTTAGCTAACATAGAACCAGGTTGGACAAGAGAAAACTAATGGTGGTTAAACCAAAACATGGCTCCATCAGTCAATCAAATCCACAAGTTAGTTTAAGCCAACAACGTAAGGAGATGTATCATTCATGGTTGGGGTCCTCGAGAGGGTAAAAAGTGACTGAAGACAATTGGTGATATGTCTCACAATTGTTCTCAATGAATAGCGCAGATGCATCCACTCCTTGTGACTTATAATTTCCAATGAAACTTTATTGTTCTCCTTTGTTACTATTCCTATTGTCGTACATCTCTGTTTACCGTCTCTATTTTTAATTTCTTTTCACTTTTCTTTCTTGTTTTGTGTGCATATTAAATGCTGTCTTGATCCTTTGTCTTTGCCCCTCCGTGTTTGATCTTCAATTTGTATGCTTCTCTCTTTGTATACATCTACCTGATTCTATGATGATTCTTATAGATGAATTTTGGTAGACTAATTTTTTGTTGTACACTAATTGTTTTGTACTAAGAATGTCACCTTGTCCTTATAGATGTTTAACAGCAATGTTGAGAGAAATTTTGACCACTTGATTTTATTCCTTTTGTTGAAAACAACCATAGATCTATCGACAAATAACCGTTCCTTTGATTTACTTAAAAACATGTTTTGTGACTGTACTCCTTTCACTCGTGTCTCGAGCAGCTTTATATTAGGATGAAAACATCGGTTCTCTGAATTCAGATAACTATGAGTCGTATTTGATTTTACGCTCAATCAATAAAAAATTGATATAGCTAACTGCATGAAGTCGCCAAAAATACACTCTCCTTTGAATTGTTTCTTCCTATTTTCAAAACTGTTCGGTCGGTGGCACAGTGGTTAGGACGCTCGGCGATCATGTACATGGTCCGACGCACTCCTTTACCTTGCTAAGCCAGAAATAGAACTGGCAAAGAGTGAAGGTTGGGCATGAAGCTAGCAACCCCATCCTGTAAAATTAAACACTGCTACAGAACCTTCAAGCCTCTAGCTAGAAGCCCAATGTTCCACTGGGAACGTGAAGGAATAAAAAAAAAGATATTAATTATTTCAGGATTTCATTATGAACTGACATCGGTTAGAGAACATAGGACAATTGGATAGCCAGCTGTTTCGTCCTAGTTAAGGACTCTTCAAGGCTTCAGGACCTTCTATGCGACACTTCAGAAGTGCACACCTACAACCTCACAAGGGATTAAATCCGGAACCTTTGGGTTATGAGACCAAACTCGTTGACCATTCAAATACTTGTGTCAGAATTCAGTAACACGTGAATTCTAAATACCCTCAAGTCGTGGAATGGTGCTAACCTCAATCAACTCCTTCAATGTGTATCGTTTTCACAGTGATACCGTGATTTGCATTGGTCACGGGTTGTCCGTACAGCTTCAGGATATCTATTTATTAGCCATCATAGATATTGGATGGTTCGGTTGTAGGAAGCTTTGAATCCAGATTTAATGCTAGTTGGCACTCGTGAAGAGTTCCAGTGGTTGAATAATATACCAGCTTGACTTATAACGAGAAGAACCTGGGTTCGAACCCTGGCGTAGGTGCGAACCGATGATAAGTACCAAACTGGTACGAAACAGCTGGCTGTCCAGTACTCCCTGATGGTTTTCAATGGTTCTCTAACTCATATCAATCTGTGGTATAGGTCGAGAAACAAATCAAACTTTCACAAATCAACTCTTCAAAACCTGACAAATAAAATTAAAAAAATGTCTACATATACTATTACTCATGGAAAATTCCCATTGTAACATATAGAAAATCAAAACAAGTGATAATTCAGCGAAGAGACTCTTTTCAACGAATTTATCATCAAGGTGTACAGTCGTATATACACACACATGGTTTTTAAGAAGTTATATCCGGTGAGGGAATTGAATCATAGGTGTGAATGCATAAAATAATAATAATAATCATATGAAGTTCAATTACAACTAAAATGTTTGTGATTATAATCGTAGTTAAATGTCAAGTGGCAAAGCAGATTAATGTCATATATAGAATAATTCATAGGAGGGATAGAACTTGAAAAAGGGGGTGTGCAATTATAGGATTAGTAGACAAATCGAATAAAACAAAAACGTTACGTAATATTGTGTGGAATTTAATAGCATAGAATTTATCGTTGTAAAAAAGATTTGATTTAGAATGACAAGTGGAACAAGTGAAATAATACCGGGGACAGTTCAAAGTGAGAATAGTAATAATAGTAACAATTGACTTAATAAGGAAGAGTATACAAATTGAATAGACAAAATGAAAAATTGGTAGAGCTAAAATATGATTGGGGATTATCATATTTTAGCATAGAGGGATTAAGACCATGAAAGTTGGAGGGGTTGAACGAACCTCTTTTTCTGTACACAGAGATCTGGCTTTTCTGTTTCGATAGCCAAAGCTTCAGCAATACAGATGAGTCGGGTACGTAGGGATTTGCTATTAAATTTCACACAATATTACGTAACGTTTTTGCTTTATTCGATTTGTCTACTAATCCTATAATTGCACACCCCCTTTTCCAAGTTCTATCCCTCCTATGAATTATTCTATATATGACATTAATTTGCTTTGCCACTTGACATTTAACTACGATTATAATCACAAACACTTTAGTTGTAATTGAACTTCATATGATTATTATTATTATTATTATTTTATACATTCACAGCTAAGATTCAATTCCCTCACCGGATATAACTTCTTAAAAACCATGTGTGTGTATATACGACTGTACAGCTTGATGATAAATTCGTTGAAAAGAGTCTCTTCGCTGAATTATCACTTGTTTTGATTTTCTAAATATACTATTACTACAGGTATTATTGTGTATATGTATACAAGTAGTTTTTCTTTCATCTATCTTGTACCCCACTCTTGTTTTACATATTCAAGTTGATTATCAATATTTTTATTGTTTCCTTTGGTTCCTAGAGGAACATAAGACTTCAGCCATATATCTCCATTGCGTTCGGTGCTGCGCCAACGTTTTCACCAGGCTCCACATCTGCCCACATGCCTTTATCTCCTCTTCGCATCACCTCCTCCAATTCATCTCACCCTCGTACTGACTAACAACTCACCGCTTCCCATTTGGGTTCCATTCGAGCGATGGCCTGACGTGTGATGTCACTCACTTGATGGTTTGTTTTTTCAGAATATGCCCAGGCCACCCATCTCCATTTCTTCCTGCAGATATGTTACACAGTTGGTTCCTGGTTGATTCGCTCCCAGAGATTGCTGTTGCTGATCTTTCCTGGCCGGCCATCTGATCTTGAGTAGCAGTGAGCGAAGACAACTGTAAATGAAGGTGTGTATTTTTTGTTTGAAGTGCTCTTAGTCACGCGGCGCGGCGCGGCGCCAAGTCTCTGATCCATACAATAACACTGACTTTACACTGGAGTTGAAAATCTGGATCTTATCGTCATTTCCATACTGAGTGCTGTTGAGACACATTAAAAATTTAGTCATAATAACTTCATTACTAATTCATATTCTTAAATAACCATTTGTTTATTGTTTTCCCCTCTTTTTCCTGTCTTGCTTTTCTTCAGCTGTTTGCATTAACTTACCTTTAGTGCCTGTAGGAGATGAAGCAAATATTACTATTAATCCAATGTTTAGTAGTGGTAGTCAGTTATTTAATCATTCAGACAGTAATACTTATGTTTCAATGTATGATCGTTTATGGTCAAAAACTGGTACTGTACCAGCTTGGTTATTAATCGTTATCATACCGTTGATTTCAATTAAATCACCAACATTTCTTGGAAAGTTTAATGCATTCGGTAAGAGTTTTTTTTTAATTATTTTTTATTCTTTGACGTTCTCAGCGGTAGCAGTGGTGTTTATTTTTGACGGGATCGAGTTGGTAGCCTCAACTGGCTTAACCTCTTCGCCTTCTTTGCCAGTCTTGTTATATTCGCTGAGTGAAGTGAAAGAATGTGTCGGCCGGGGATCGTGCCTTAGACCACATACGCCGTCGGTGAACATTCTACCACTGTGCCACTGACGCAAGCCTATGTCTTGGTCAGAAATTATTTACATGGGATTTTGTTGAAATGTATTTAAGAGCTTATTTGTAGTGAGTTGATTTGTTTCAAGGTTTGATCACGGATTGATATCGGTTAGAAAACCATTGAAAATTAGAACTGGAGTACTGGAATGTGTTGTTTTGTCTGAGTTAAGAACCCTTTCGTAGCATAACGCACCTATTACATGCTGTTCACAAGGTAAGGTCATAAACCATTCAGCCCCCACCTATAGTGATTGGATACAGGATGAAGCTTCCTGCAGTTCTAGTGCAACATCGGGACCAGTGGCTCTACCAAGTTGTATTTCGCCATCAAGTCGCACCCCGATCACATTGGATGGTGAAGGTTTTAAAAATGACGAATTGGGAGAAGTTGGAATTCCTCAGCTGGCCACTGGATCGGGTCCCAGTGTCTTAATGGTTTACAATCTCGTCTTATAACCGGAATGTCCTGGCTTGGAACCCTGATGGTACTGATGAAGAATCAGAAACTAGGACTAAACGGAGGGGTGTCATGTACTGCCTTTTGGTTTCCAATGATTCTCTAACCGTCAGCTGATGATGAAATCCTGTAATCAATGAAATCCCTGCAATCCAACATATGAACTCTTTTGTTGTTGCTGATAGCCACAGCAGAGATGAAGATTAAGAGTACTTCTTACTGGTTACACAGTGATAGCTTGAATCGTTGTATCATTAGTGCCTTAGTTAAATTCAGATTCCCTGATCTCACTTCATTTGAGAGGTTTGAATGGACCTTGTGTAGTAGTTCAAAGGAGTTTTAAATGAAGCTGAATGTCCTGAGGTCATTAGATGTCCTATTACTGAGTTACTGTCACGCTTACGATCTCCATTTAGTATCCAGGTTGGATAGTGTTCCCAAATTAGATTACAAACTGACTTCACTTAAAGAACTATTGAAAATCAGAGTGTAATAGACTACTGTTTTGTCCTTGTTTTGAACTCCGTAGCGTTGTGCCCATATGGTCGAACCCAGGATCTTGAGGACCTTAAAAATTCCCATTCAGCCAGCGCGATAAAATCCAGTGATCGATGTATTGTCAGTTCTGTTGATTTTTGAGTTACGGCCTCGGTAGTGGTTCTCTAACTGAAGCCAATCCCTGATCTAACTTGGAGTCAATTTATTCCCGTGGAAATCCACACTTGAAAATACAATTAGGTTTTTTTTCCTTTGTACTGTTTTAGGTACTATCTCTGTATTCTACCTCCTCATATTAGTTTGTATTAAAGCTGCTCAATGGGGTCTTAATTTGGACTTTTATTCAGATCATCCATATCGGATTGTTCATCGTGAGTTTAGTAGTCATGACATGACGACTTTTTTTATCTTTGATAGTTTTAAAATTCTGAAAAATTTTCATGTATACTGTCAGTGTTAAAATTAATTAGGAATGAACAAGTGAAGACACTGAATAACTGAAAATGGCTATAGGACAGTAGACCAAACGGAACAGCCATCTATGACTTCCACACGAACACGATTCTCCTTCTTTTGGAAAAAAAATAGGATGAGGGGAGAAAGCTGTTCACACGCAAACTAACAAGAACTCTTCGAATCGACCGTGAACAGCGATGGTCGACAAAAGAGAAATAGATGGAAAAGTTATCGGCGATAGGCAACACCATACAACTATTTAGACTTATCAGGGAAGCAGGTGGTAAAAAGCAAATGATAAGTGACAAAATTTCAACAATGGCTAACCGCCGTCTTCCTCGACGTGGAATATTTGCTGCCAGTACGAGATTGTTCAGGTTGGAATAAAGAAAGCTAGTAGTGGTCAAATCAAAACATGGCTTCATCAGTCAACCAAATCCACAGTAGTTAGTTTAAGTCGTCAACGTATGGATGTGAAGAATCTCTGGTTTCGATCCTTGGTATGGTGAAAATCAATGAAGGCTGGAGACAATTGGTGATATACCCGACCCAAAATTTTTCTCAATGGCTAGATCAGATGCATTCACTTTTTGTGATTTATGATATTCCATAAAACTCTGTTTTTCTTCCATATAACTATTCTTTTTGCTTCATATTTTTGTGTTATTATCTCTCTCTGCTGAAGCTCCCTTTACACTCTTCTCTTGCTTTGAGTGCTACGCGGAGGGAGTGTGGCAATTCGAGCAGGTGCACATCTGTGCGAAGTTCTACGTTGAAACCAGTGAGTCAGGGAAAGAACAATCTATGAAATCTTGGATAAACACTTATTCTATGTCATACGTTATGACCATTATGAGTATTATTGTGATTACGCATATTTTTGCAGTTCGTTTGAAAAATTAGTCTTCAGCTTCAAACTTTTATCGCACAATGTTTCATTGGCTTCACAATCACCCACAAGCGTTCATCAACTCTTCACTTGATCTCATTAATTCAGAAAATCAAAACAGGTGATTCAGCGAAGAGACTCTTTTCAACGAATTTATCATCAAGCTGTACAGTCGTATACAAATGGTTTTTAAGAAGTTATATCCGGTGAGGGAATTGAATCTTAGGTGTGAATGCATAAAATAATCATAATAATCATATGAAGTTCAATTAAAACTAAAATGTTTGTGATTATAATCGTAGTTAAATGTCAAGTGGCAAAGCAGATTAATGTCATATATAGAATAATTCATAGGAGGGATAGAACTTGAAAAAGGATGTGCAATTATAGGATTAGTAGACAAATCGAATAAAACAAAAACGTCACGTAATATTGTGTGAAATTTAATAGCATAGAATTTATCGTTGTAAAAATAAAGAATTGATTTAGAATGACAAGTGGAACAAGTGAAATAATACCGGAGACAGTTCAAAGTGAGAATAGTAATAATAACAATTGACGGAATAAGGAAGAGTATACAAATTGAATAGACAAAATGAAAAATTGGTAGAGCTAAAATATGATTGGGGATGATCATATTTTAGCATAGAGGGATTAAGACCATGAAAGTTGGAGGGATTGAACGAACTTTTTCTGTAAACAGAGATCTGGCTTTTCTGTTTCGATAGCCAAAGCTTCAGCAATACAGATGGGTCGGTTACGTAAGGATTTGGGTAAATTACTCTTTGCCTTGTAGATGACTTTAAAGGCGGAGACCATAGAGATAGGGTGATCATTATCGACCAGATGTTCTATGATCGCGCTTCTTATTGCTCCACTTCCACCTTTTCGTAGCCATGCAGGATAATGTTCTTGCACCCTCTTGGACAAAACTCGAGTCGAACGACCGATATACCTAGCTCCACACAAGCAGGTGAATTGATAAACGCACATAGAGTTGGTCAACAGTGGGATCTTGTCCTTCAGGTTATTGAACAATAATGGTCGGCTAGTAAAAGCTATTCTTAGAGAGGCAGCAGGGAATGTTCTTTTCAGGGACTGTGATATCCTTCTTTTGATGATATCGAAAGCTAAGTCTCCTTTGAATTCTAAGCTCATGTAAAGTATTTTCTTGGGAGCGGTTGATAAGTCACGTTTTGTAGGCTTTGAATGTATATTCTTATCTATAAAACGTGGTGGAAATCCATTTTCCATTAGGATTTTCCTCAAAGTGTATAATTCATCTTCCACAGTATCAGTGCTACATTTATTCATTTATTCAACCGATAGACCACCTAGGGTGTAACGTCACTTGATGGCCTTCACCTCCATTCCCTTCAGTATATTTGTTTGATAACAGGGTTTTGCTTAGGTCATCACCGGCTTCAATCCCAGGCCAACTGACTCTTAAAACTCGCTAAGCTACTAATAGGACTGGCAAAGAGGGAAGGTTGGATGAGATGAGGTCAGCAACCCCATCCTTAAAAATAGCAAAACCCTGCTACGGAAACCTCAAGACTCTAGCTTGAAGCTCCTTATATTTTACTCTGAACGTAAAGGAATGAAACAATTGTTTGATGGGTTGCATACTCCCTAGCCAAGCCTCACGTGTTTTACGACTCTGTCAACAACCGACGTACTCCCTGAACCCCGTTGACTGGTAGAGGGCCCATTAAAGAGGGAATTCTATGAGTGCATTTTGGGACTTTACACCGTAAAAGCTAAATACCACTGCTACGTGAACTCAAAAACTCAAGCTTGTTGCCCCATGTTCCACTTGGAATGTAACAAGTTCATGCATAATGAAGCATAACTAAGGCGAGAACTTAGATTTATCTTATAGAAAGTTATATCATCTCTTTATACCCTGTTAGAACATCTTCATACTATTCAGGCAGTGTGAATAAACTCACACAATCAATAGTTCATTTGTAGAAATCTAACTAGTCATGAAGATAGTTCGGGTTCATTTGGTGGTAAGCGAACTTTCAAATATTGCCTAGCTAACTTTGCCTTATTAAAAGAGTGAGGATTGCATGCGTGACTAACAACTCTACCCTACCAGATAAAAACTGGAAACACCAAAGCTGCTATAATTTCAAAGCTGGTAACTCTATGTTCCACCAAAAATTAAGCATAGTTGCAAATATACTGTAATCTATTTATCCAGAAAACTTCATCAATTGTCACGGTAAGGATAGACCACATCTTGAAAAGACAGCTTCTGTACCAAAGAAAGCCATCTTTATTAATCTACCATTCAAGGGCGACCAGATTATGCAGTTGACAGCTCAAAGACTTCGGTCAGCCATCAAACGCACATTCTACGCCACCGCATCTCTTTTTCTCACTTGCCGAACATTTTCGATCCCTGTACCTACGATTAAAGGACGAAATTCTGTGGACTCTACTTCAAACTGTATCTACAAGTTCACCTGCAGCTGCGGTGACGCTTATATATAGGTAGAACTAACAGAATGTTCCAATGTCGTCGAAAAGAACATGTTCCAAAATGGCTAGTAAATCATATTGAAAATCCTAACGTGATTAATCTTAGTAGAAATCCAGCATCATCCATTGCAAAACACTTATTAATGTCTGGTCACAAAATCAATATTAATGACTGTTTCACAATTATTTCACATAACTCTAATTCAAGGTTATTGAAGGTGATGGAAGCACTTTGGATTAATCACATACAGCCTAAACTCTGTATAGAAAAGTCAATAGACTTCAATCTTCACCTACCCTGGACTGCATGACCTATCTTAATATGAGTGGTTGTTAGTATGTACTTTGGTTTTTATTTAACTGAGTCGGTGGCACAGTGGTTAGGACTCTCGCCGACCATGCACATGGTCCGGGGTTCGAGCCCGCACCGACGCACACCTGATATCTATGGTCGGCCTGCAAAATTTGGGCTACCGATATCCATGCTGAAAATTCCATACTTGTACCGAAAATACAGTGTGGAATCAAGCTGTAAATCAAAAAAAAAATAAATAAATAAATAAATAAAATAAAATAATTTTCACGAACTTTAATTTTTCGTTGTTAACCATGTTAGTTGTAAAGCGGTTGTAAAGAAACTACGAAATGACGATATCATCTCGCGAAATTTGTCTTCTTAATGCCTTATTCATATTTTGAGTTTGTTGTATTCTCTGAGCTGGATACTTTATTTGCGAGGCTTTCATCGCCCCACTAGGCGACGTCTTCGACGCATACTTCAATTTGAAGTGAGCTTTTAGATTTCTCCATGAGTTTACTGGTCATCTCTCTCGGTGGCTAACCTTGAACGTGATTCATTGTTTCTGTGTGTTTTCACACCTTTTAGGTGACTTGTATTGGAACCGATCATTTCTTTGACTTGAATTTTGACCCTTTGTGTGTGAGATTTAATTTTTATCGGTTGATAAATTTTGTCTATCTCGATGTGTTATGCCAGTGTTATACCAGGCAGCCTTCTAAAAATTCTCTAGCATTCTGGTTGTCTAATATTTGTCTAATCTGTCTAATATTTGAACGTTGTCCCAGTTGAATTGATGTCCATGGTTGTCTGTGTGTAGTGGTATGAGGGAGTGGATATCATGTCTTTTAATGGCTAGCTTATGATCATGGATACGGAGGCGAAGAGGACGTCCACCTTGGCCAATGCAGTGTTTTACGCAGTTGTTACAATCTATTTTGTAAGTGATGTTGGTTTTATCTTCTTTCGCTGTTGAGTCTTTTGGTTGAGACAGAACCAGCTGAGCGAAGTGATTTTGTTGGTTTGCAAACGAGGTCTATTCTTAAAGGTTTGAAGAGTCTTGTAGTGATTTCTGAGATATCCTTTATATATGGTAAGATGATTTTCTTTGTGCTTTCCTTGGGGGCTTTTGGTTTGATAGATTGGCTTGAGGGTATATGTCTTTTGATGAAATTCCGTGGATATCCATTCGTTCGGAAGACGTCCATGAGATATTTTTCTTCAATCTTCCTCAAGAT